TTGATTACATGTATATACATGGAATGTACACGGGGGTATATTCTATGTATATACAGGCAGCGATCTCGTTCGAATATACATTATATGTATATCCATACGATATCTTACGTATTTATATCCATACATGTATCTACCTCAGCGTATGTATATCATATGTATGTACATAGTATATACAGTACATTTTTTTCACATTATGTATATTTTATGTATATACATAGGATATCGAATGTTTACTGGGCTGCCACAAGAAACACTAAATAAACTTGTCGCCAGAATGCCACGACTTGTAAATGCGGTTTTGAAAGCTAAGGGTTTTTTCGACGTTTAAGATTTATGTTTGAAAAAGTGTAAGATTTATGTTAAACTGTAAATATTTTTTTTTTTATTAATTTAGAGTTAATAATTTCAGATTATTTTGAATTTAATATAACAACTTTTTCTAATAAAATATTTTTTTATAATAATTTATCACATTTTTGTTAAGTGTATCCAAACTTTTGGCCTGGAGTGTACATAAATTGTATACCCACACACGCCGCTACATTCTTGAACGGCATGCGCATGCAAACTAAAGCCTACCTGTTTACCAAAGTTTTTAATCTTTAACGTCAATTTTCTCGAAAATTATCAGTTTTACACAAAAAATGCATAGAACATAAATAATGTATTTTTACAAGAACTACAACTTTTATTTGAGACATTTTTTCGTTACATCAATATTTCTCGAAATAATCTCAAAAAAGTGATATTTTTTCACTTTTTTTTGGAGTTTTGACCTTGAAAATGATCTTGTCGGCGATTTTCATTATCATATTCGTAATCAGCGCGCCAAAATACATAAAATAGTGCAGTTTAAAAAAAATCGGGCGTTTTACCTATTCGGAACTTTATCCTTAATTTATTTGAGAGAAATATTTAAAGATTGTAATATGTCAAAAATTAAATCTTTTGATTGTTATTTATGAATATCTTCTTACATGCAAACTATTTCGTATAAAAATGTGATGCCACGCATATAATAATATATACTGCATTATTTTAACAGACACGTGGAATATTTGACAGACAAAGGCAATTCAATAATGGATGGTATTCATTTTCGACGTATCTCTGTAATATCTTATATGGAAAAAAATTTTGTATTATTATGAATAAAATGCATAATTAATCTTTGATGTAATTTATAGAAAATAGTTGAAAAGTATCAAAGAAACAAAGAAATTCCGGCTTGTAAAAATATAGCCGAGCGCGAATTTACGATGATAAAAAATGAAATATGCATCAAATTTCATTATAACGAAGGCCAAAATTCCAGAGCAACTCGTACATTTATAAAACCATTGGTAGCAGATAGAGGAGATCGTTTAATATTCGATCTTGCAATGACTCACGGATACAATGTAAACTTTTCCTTTTAAAACAAAGATATTTGACTAGAAAGAAATGCAATATAATTGTGCATCTTTGTTTCTTACAGCCAGATTCAACTGCACTGCCAGAAAAAAATCTTGATCTCTTTTACGATCTCAATAAACACCTGATAGATGAAGATTATTCCACATCTTGTATCAGAGATGCCGAAATCGAAATTGCAACATTCCTGAAAAAAAGAGCCAATGAAAATATAAATCCGCGGCTTACAATTTCATTGTTCGATAAAAATCGTGTTGTGAAAACAACAGCCGAATTGGGAACGGTATTTATCATTAACATTTTATCGGCAGTTCTGTTGAGAATTCTGTATAGCCTCTCACGAATTCTAACGTTTATCCTTAAGGCTCGAAACGCTAAAATTAAAATTGAACAAGTTCTCGCTATTTTTCGTTTTCTAAATTAAGAATTTCAAATTTAATTTATGTAGGACTGTAGGATATGAAAATGACCGTTAGAACTGTGACCGTTACAACTGTGACCGTTAGAAAAGATATAATTTTTCATAGCTTTTAAGGAAAATTTCCTTTGTATAGGAATTACAATTCACACAAAAGGATGCCATTCAAAACCCATTGAACCCATACTTTGCACGATTTGGCAACCCGCGTTACATTAGTAAAGCGGAAGAATACCTGCTGCGCGACGAATGTGTAAGCGACTTCAAAGAATTTATGATAAAAAAAGCAAGTCAGGTAGTTTCTCGAATAGAAACATTATATTCACAAACGAAGAAACTTCAAATTTTGCTGACTCAGGTATTTATTGCACAAATATTTTAGAACAGCGCTCGGAATTAGTTGCACATTTCGGGCCGATTTCCGAGACAACGCCTCCTGTTCCCCCACTACCGCTCGACCGCTGGCGGCCGAGCCGCCGATAGCTCTGGCTCAGGAGCGTTTTATATTAGAAATAGGCTGGATTGTTTAGGCATCTTTCGGAAAATCGTAACATTTTCTTCACTACATAAATAATGTTTATTTTTATTAATACATAATATATATATATTTAATTATTTGTGCAACTAATTCCGAGCGCTGTTTTAGAAAACCGTTAAAATTTTTTTTTCGTATTTTTTTAAATTTGGTAAATCTTGGGAACAGGGATCGGCATCATCGATATTTTCAGTAATATTTACAGCTTTGATTAACAATTACTTAGATCAGTGCTGTCAGTTATTTGCAACTTTCGGCCGGATTTCTCGATTAACCAATAATCAAACTCGAAAATTATTTGATTACTTTATCAAGCAGTAATCAGAAAATAAAATTTTTGATTACTCGATTAATTGGTAATCAAACTCGAAAATTATTTGATTACTTTATCAATCAGTAATCAGAAAATAAAATTTTTGATTACTCGATTAATCGGTAATCAAACTCGAAAATTATTTGATTACTTTATCAATCAGTAATCAGAAAATAAAATTTTTGATTACTTGATTAATCGGTAATCAGAAGAAAATAATTTCAATTACTTGATTACTCAATAATCGAGGTCTGATGTTGAGTAATTTTTATTTTTTACGTTCTCCCAAAGATACAATTCGCTTTTGACAGTACTCTTTTTTCAAAATTGTCATCTGTCAGTCGATTAAATTTTGCAGCATCAAACATGGTGGCAAAACTGAACATTCTTTCGACTGGAGCCT